GCGAATGTTCACTCCCTTTGATGTGTCCTAAAGACCGACACGCGGTGGGTAAAGGCGGCTCAACACATTTGGCATTCACCGAGCAGCTCGTCCAAACCCGCACAGCTGATGTGTTCGGCGAATGTTCGCTCCCTTTGATGTGTCCTAAAGACCGACACACGGTTAGTAGGGCGAATATCGAATGATTGGCGCTCGGCGAATCGCAAGCAACCCGTTCACACTACTCGGGATTCGGCGAGCGATTGCTCGGGAAGATGAAACTGAGGTAATAGTTCCAGAAAATGGGGCTAATGTAACACTTGAAATATTAATACTCCACGAAAAAATCGAATACCCAATTTGGAGATTCTTATTAAGATGAAGGCCTGCCCAGCTTGCAATAGCGCTCCCTAAATATTGGGACGATGGTATGAGTTTGTAGAAGAAAGGTACTCTAAAATTCCTAGATTATCTTACTTTTTCCTTCTTGTGTACTTTTATGATATTTACATACACATATACAAAATATTATGTTTTCTCTAGTATATGGTAATGAAATACTAATGAATGACTCAGGATATTTAGGTAGATAACGTGTTCGTTTTTTTACATTTATTATAAAACCTTGTCATGACTTAACATTATTACACATTTTTATGACGCCTAAAACTTCTATCTCAGTTTAAAATATGAAACTAATCATTAGTCCGTTAATTATGTCATTTTCAGATTTTTTTATTATATTTGCTATTTAAAATCTGGTTTTATACTCGAATTATCTCAAGATAAGAATTATTCATCTAAACGGAATATCATCGCAAGCATTTGCATTTATCGGTATAGATTCTCTCAAATTATACTCCAATTTGCTCGTCTATTTTTTCTTTAGAAATGATCTCGAGTGGGTATCAATGCTAACCTCGATCTTGCTGTCCAAAATATTTAAAAATTTGTGGAATGAAATAACGCGCGCAGCCCGTGACCCGTTTGTTAAGGTACTGCTCTGGCATTCGCCTAGTGTTGATCGGAGAAACTAAAGAACGAAACTACTGATTAGAGTAACCGTCGCTTTCAAACAGCGACTGAATTACACCCAGCCATGTAGACAGAATGCATCATAGATGGAAATTCGTACCCTAAGACCTCGCGGTCAGAAAGTCTTCAGAGGCAATATTTGTTGCGCTGATCCATCTGTGTCCAACAGAGTTATTGGACAAAAACTGATGAAAATTAGTTCTTATACTATAAGGAAACTAGACAGCTAACACCTTTTTCGATGTGCAAATTTTTATATAGCTTAATCTTAAGTTTTATATTTTTTTCTAATTGTTTGCAATTATTTTAGTGGAACTTCAAAATCATTCTTAATTTTGATAAACATTACAATGTTCAGGACGTCATCTGCCGTAAAATAAGAGTAAGTCTTGTGAAATCAAACAGTTAAATTTTTCTCGTTTTTTTTTTTAATTTCCGTCACGGAGAAACTAACACAGTAAACATGGATGAAATAAAGCTAATTTTATTACCCAGGGCAACGAACAACTATACAGAATATGTCTTGGGAAATCAGATCCTCACTTGCAATCATTCGACTTGGGTGAGTTTTCTCTTGAACAATAATCATTTATGGTACAAGAAAATTAAATAGTTGTCTTGAGTGCGTGCATTATATCATTATGCAAACAAAAGCCATATAGTTGAAACCAAATAACCAAATATTGCGATAAAATAAAACGCGTTGGTTTTCATGAGTTTTTTGTCAAGGAAAAGTAAACAAACTGTTCCATTTCGTTATAAGTATATTAGGAGCGAAATAAAAGATTCAGATTTTTATTTAATTCAGAAGGTAAAATAAATATTTGTTTAGTGATTCAATACATTTAAAGATCTTTATCATCCGCAAGAGATAAAAAACTAATACCCCTCTCATGCAACCATTTCATTTCGTGTTATAATATATATCATTATTATTCCCTTACAATAATGTTATTTCACTGGCACCAACAATAGCCTCTATTTCAAATAGTAACATTAACGAAAAAATGCCTGCAGACTTGGGTTACAATATTAAACTATATTTCACTGTAAGAACAAATTTTACATGTGTCCCAATGAACGACATTTTCAGTATAAGTTATGAGTATCTTCAACCATGTCGCCCGAAGTTCGAACTTACAACTCATTCTAACCTATTAGTCCAATCATAGTTCCTTTCTTACAAGTCCAACATGTACATGTAATTGCACATGGTGTGTTAAGAGGTCTTCAAGTTTATGTCCAAATCTCGATCACTGTGAAACAAGAATCTGCTCCCACTACAAAACACAATTTACATTCTACCGGTCGTTACTATTGCTATCTCACTGGTTAACACAGACGTTAAACAGGAAATTAAATGATGTTTTACACAACCGCAATGGATAAACCTAATTTTACTACGGAAAGGGCAACCGACTTCCTCCTAGAAAACCTCCCGAGTGTGACACCGCCTCGGCCAACATCTCCTGCCTTGTGCGCGCTCTCTCGTAAATAAACCGCTTTACGTCCAATGAGAAGCGCCATCAAAGGCGGCGGCGCTGCGAGCGGCGGAGGCGGTAAAACATTGGTTACTCCCTTCCGCGCGGGCGCTGCTTTCTTGCGGTCGAGAAGACCCTCGGAGAGAGGGTTGGCCGCGCGGCAGCCAGCAACTCTCGGGAATGCCCGCGACTGCGAGCCTGCCTGTGAGCGACGGCCGACGAAAGGAACGGCGAGAAGTCAATTGTTTGGTACTGATTTGGATACTCTGTGGGCAGGTTGAATAAAGCTTTTCCTATGGTTCCTAAAGCAATGGGTTCAATAAAATGTATAGGTTCCATAGACCGTGCACCGTTACATAAAGCAAATGTATGGAATATATAACTATAGATTCCACAAGAACGTAGGCATCCCTACGCCCTTTCTGGTGTTCTCAACCTGAGAAGTGAGTTTTGCCTGACCGGGAATCGAACCCGCTGTCGCGTCATAAAAAGCGAGCTTGCTCACTAATCAGCTAAAATGCGAGGACGGTTTGAATACTATATTTCGAATGATTTACTTCGAAACATACGTCGGCGTGAAGGAAGGAAACGAGAATCTAGTCTAATATACGTCATTTGTTTAAAAACTGGTTTATTTTTACTTGTAAAAATTTCATTGTAGAATTATTCCGAAAAAATGTTACATCAGGGTTAGTTCGTTATCCTGTCTGAATAGAAGAATATGATAAATAACCGTGATTTTAAACTTGAATTCCGTTTTTAACTCCCTGTGCAATTTAATCACTGAGGTTTCCACGAGTTTATATTATTATTATTATTATTATTATTATTATTATTATTATTATTATTATTATTATTATTATTGTTGTTATTATTATTATTTCGCGAATAGACCAACTTGGACCACGCGTACATGCACAATGCATTTGCCGGGGCTCAGAAACCTTTATCTCGGTGGCAGATGCACGTATTTTTTTTTTATCAAGGGATCAGCATTTAGTTGGATATGATTTTTATCCTCCAGGGATGTTAGCCCTGGGCATAAAAAAGATGAAATAATGATGGTAGTGCGGGGTGAGAGGACGGCACACATGTAGACACAAACAAATACACCCATACCTGAGGCGAGACTCGAACCCCCGATTGTCTGGTCGGAGACCGCTACAGCCCTACTGTCTTTGCGATCTCGGCCATCTCTCATCTGCTTATCATTGTCATCATCATTATTTTTAATTATTATGCGCCTGTAGGATGACTCATGGACGCCATTCCAGATTCGCGTGGTGTGGTCGCAGGTTTGATTCCCGGTCGAGGCAAAAATAGTTGTAGCTTTCCTTTAAAATCATCACAGTTTCTGTAGCTGCGTGAAGGCGAAAATCTCAGGCAGGCGAAGTTTGCTTGCTACGGTGAAAGAAATACTGCATGGTCGCCACATGTGCTCACTCCCAAGCAGGGGAAAGTACGCCTAGGCATTGCAAACACAGCAGCCCAGCGAAGCCGGACCCAAAATGACAAGTACATACATACATTATTATTATTAGAGCCCGGAAGTTTGACAAAAATGCCTTTTTGTTATTGTTATTATTTTAAGACTTTTAACAATAGGAATCACTTAATTCTACTTCTGGGATTGTTCAGTAGATTTTCATTTGACCTTTTTTTGCTTACTTCAGCGTCTGATGAATATTTTATGCAATTTTGTCTTAATTTTGCCCTTTTCTACGTTTTTTCTTATTACTAGATTTTCATTTTCCTTTTTTCACTATTTTAGCTTCTGATTCCTATTTTTACCATTTCGCCTTTTTTGCCTTTTTCTTTTCCCTCCTGATTTCGTTTTCCCCCTCCTAGCACCGTTCGCAATTAGTAAGTTGGATGTATACCTAGAAGCCTGGACAACCCGAAGGCACGATCGTGTTTTGTATTTCTGTGGAAGAGGCTGCGATAAAAATCTAAATAAAAAAAGATAGATACCATCGCGATTTTGTACCCTCACGAGTTTTTGTACCCTCACCCATTCTACTTTTGAGTATAGCCAACGATTTGAGGACATCTCTCTGTATATGATATGCCCTTCTCAATGATGGCTTACACAGTACGAGGAACGAAAAAAAAATTGTCTGTTTTCTCTGACGGCATATCAAGATCCAAAAGGGAGTTCACAATAGCATTTCTAAGAGATAGCGTCGCCAGTAAAAGTAATTCGTAGCCATCATACCGCATGATTATGTGAAATGAACATTAAAAAGAAAATATCGTTTTCTTACACGTTAAGTACTAATGTGAATTTTAAGAGTTTGAGCAAAAATGTGAACAATTTTAATTAATTTGTACAATATTTTTATATATGATTTTTCATTGTCTTCATCCAATTTGGCACCCCCAGCCTATTTGCATACCAATTTATTAAAAATAAATTCATTTTTGCCTGCCTATTTTAGGTACAATATATGTCTGAACTCCCGGGCTCTAATTACGAGTATTGTTACTCTAATTATTACGTGGTGTGGGCCTCACCGGTAGCTCGAGCAGCGACTGCGGGGTGTCGAGGGCGGCGCCACGGCGCAGGCGGCACAGCTCCAGCAACTCGTCGTCCGCGGCGGCCTTCTGGCGCAGCAGCCTGCAACACCAACGAGCACACTCACTCCGAGCACTGCCACTCTACGTACTTTTTCCTATAAAAAGACTGTGTTACGGAAAGTAGAGAACGACATATCGCCTTGAGAGCGTAGGCTTCCGCGGCCGGAGTCAGTATTGACTAGGCTGTCCGAGTGACGCCGCGTCCATGGCGAAGGTGCCGACGACGGTTCGGTCGCCATTCTGCGACCTTCCTGCCAAGTCCTGAGGGAGGTCGGAGAATGGCGACCGAAACGTCGGCACCTTCGCCATAAACGCGGCGTCACCCGGACAGCCTAGTAAAGGCATATCGCCGATAACACACATAACAGATTCGTTTGGTATTTGCCGCTTATCAGCGGAGATTTATTAGATTTATTTAGATTTGTTTAGTCAAGAACAGTAAAAACTGGATGTGACGTATGGGGGAGAAGATCTGCGCACGTTTTCTTGAGTTCCAAAATGCCTTTCCAGCATTTGAACTGTAAATTACTGAAATATGAGTAAACGTTAAAGATAAATAAATAAAAATAAAATTTAAAATAGTGCGAGATTAGCAACATTTGAAAAACTAGACATTTTCGTTCCCGAGTTTTAGAAAACTTATTTGTAACGGTAAACGAACTGCAGATTTATTTTTCTTGCATCGCTAACAAATTAGTAACTCTCCCTTACCTCTACTCCTACAAGCAAAAAGAGAGTTCAACAAAGCGTGCGCATAGTGAAGTTACATTTACGCCCAGAAGCAAAAAAAAGGGGCCATCACAGTATTTGCTCAATGGATCAGGGAAACTGGACGAAAACCTGATCGAGATGGGGGTCATTGACACGGTCATTTCGAAGCAGTTATTCGAGAGTATATTCCTGGTTCCTTACCTTGTTTTTTCTTTGCACTTATTTGGGAAGTATAAAAATGTCAGGCGCGGTACGTTGGAAACGTACACCTTCCGCTACTAATTTGTACCAAAGACGGATTGTACTTGGTTCCATTTGAGATTAGGCACGAAATTTGAGTTATTTTGGGTGCCTATTTATAAGCACTGTCAAGTACATAATTTAAACAACATTTTTTACATCTTCTTCTAAAATGTTTCGGAGAAAAATATTGCTTTTTTTGGATGGTGATCTCTGTTTTAATAGGACTTTTAAAATAAAAAAGTGTTCGAAAGAGGATCTCGTAAAATATTTTCGTAATATGCTGAGACGAACGATATAAAAATACTTCTTTTTTCTACATATTACTTTCTTAATTTGTTTTGGAATTCTGATGTCGACTTCAGACATCGTGTGTTCCATGATTCACTTTCCTGCCTTTCCTTCTACTCGTATAATTCTTTCACCTTGACCTGATGAAGATCAGCAGTTTCTTTCCCAACTCAGAGCATGTCAGTTAGAAATTATTACCTTCCCTCAATTCTCAATGCTGAGAAACAGAGTGTGAAATTCAGCTCCCAAAGAAATCTCATCATACGAGAAGTTTACTTTCAAGGTCTTGAAGTTCTGACACGTCAAGGTATTTCTCTAAATATTCATTTTTTGCACTCATTATCCATAGGAACATCACGTTTTTCACTTTTTAACTCTTCATGAATTACGAAGAAAGTAAATAATATCTTTCTAAATATTGGAAATAAGTTACTTTTTGTTTATTTGAGTCCAACATGAAATTTATATTTGAAACAATATTGATTTTCTTTCGCGAGTATTGGGTAACTTCAAGTTCCTTTATTTATAATTTATATGTAAAATAGCTAGTGTACTAAAAATAAAAAATGTCTTTCTTTCTTAGAACTTTTTCTGCTTAAAACCAGTTCCCTCCAATTCTCAACGGGTTATTTTATGACCCATACATAAGATCAGAGATTCTCATATGGTAGTACAGGATCAACTAATGGTACAGAAAGGAAGTAATGCTGGAGGTGTGGTGGAATTAGTGGGATATGTGGGATATTAGGGAGAAATTACTGAAATACACAATTTTCCATTAAAGTGAATACTGAAAACTAATACGAATGCAATTAGGATTGAGCTGTTTGAATACACACTGATTCATGTTTTATACCAGACACACCGCTGATAACAGCTATGCTAATTCAAATACGGTATTGTAGTTGAAGAATAAACGTTTAACACTTGTATGGCACTTGAGTTGCCCATGTACACGTTCAGAGACATGAGTTCCATATTCGTGTTTTCTTTGAAAAAGGAAATACGCAGTTATTGGAATTTTAGAACAATGGTACGCCAACATCTCTGTCAATTTTAAGTGCCCGGGACGGAAAGATTGAAAACCCCTTGCACTTCGCAGTCTCTCCGAATCTCGGGTCAGCAGAACCCACCACATACCTTAAACGAAAGGGACAAACAATGTTGCCTATAGAGAAATTCGGAACTGGGAGCCTTTTCAGGTGCGAGATCGGTTTACGCTTAAACCACATCGAGCATTCAGATCGTCGTAGGACAAATATATTTATTTCCATTCTTATTCAATTATTTGCATTCTTATTCAATTATTTGCATTCTTATTCAATTATTTGCATTCTTATTCAATTATTTGTATTCTTATTTAATTATTTGCATTCTTATGAATTTCTTTGTATTCTTATGAATTTCTTTGTATTCTTATGAATTTCTTTGTATTCTTATATATTTATTTGTATTCTTATTTCTTTCTTTATTTATTTATTGACAAATGAGAGCTTCGTTGATGTGTAAAATTATTATTGTATTTCACATCGTACTTTTCTTCAAAGACTTCCACTCACACTACGTCTTCACCTTGACCTGATCAACAATTCACTTCCCAAGAGATAATACAACTCCCCAAACTTATTTCCACCCCCCTTTCACGTTCAATAGTGAGAAACAGAGAATGTGAATCCATCTCCGACAGATATCTCTTCCACGTGAAAAAAAAACAACCAATTCGGATGTCACGAACGAGCCACCTTACGGCATTCCCCTGCAATTACACACTTTTCTCTCCCTTTCTTCACGATCGCGCAAAGCCGAGGAACGATTTGCGTCCGCTAATGAACGCATTGTTCCACTCCGCCCCTGCACTTTCACGTCCGTCACTCAGGTGAAGCAGTCAGCTGCCAGTCAAGACGGCGGCGGCCGCGTTATACACTGTGTGATCAAAAGTATCCGGACACGTCCAAATTGGTGATATGGTGTGGTCGTGTTTTTCTCGTTTTGTGTGACACTAGCACGGCACAGACCTACGTTGATGTTTTAAACACATTCTCGCTTCCCGCTGTTGAAGAGTAATTCGGGGATGGCGATTGAATCTTTCAACACGATCGAGCACCTGTTCATAATGCACAACCTGTGGTAGAGTGAATGGACGTAATGGACTGGCCTGCACGGGGTGTTGACTTGAATCCTATCGAACACCTTTGAGATGTTTTTGAACGCAGACTTCGTGCCAGGCCACACCGACCTACATCGATACCTCTCCTCAGCGCAGCTCTCCGTGAAGAATGGGCTGCCATTCCCCAAGAAACCTTCCAGCACCTGATTGAAGGTATGCCTGCGAGAGTGGAAACTGTCATCACGGCTATGGGTGGGCCAACACCCTACTGAATTCCAGCATTACCGATGGAGGGCGCCACGAACTGCTAAGTCATTTTCAGCCAAGCGTCCGGATACGTTTGATCACATAGTGTAGGCCCATGCCATCTGTATCCCCGAGAAGCGCGTCTGAGGAGCGTGGGAAAGGAAAGGCTGCGTATGGGCGCGAGTGACATTTGCCCATCAGCGGAATTTCTCTCGAGAGGCCGGGAGCAGATGCCACTCTGTCTTTGTTGCCGTCGCGTCCGAGCTTTCCCGCTCGGGTAGGCGTGCGTGCCACGGGCGTGACAAAAGGCATGGGCTGGATGTGCGTTGAATTAATTTGCTTTGTGATTTTTTTTTCTCTCGCGCGCGTTTATTGCCGAAGTTGAATCATGCAATTTATCTGTTGATGTGGTTCCAGACCGTTTGGTCGTGAAACACTTTTTACGTCCTCGCTACGGAGTAGAAAAAAGCTATGAAATGCTGTTCAAAAAAACGGCGAATTTGTGGCTGAAAAACTTATTTCAGGGCCCAGGTAACGAAGAAGTGGATAAAACCAGTTGCTAAATTTAGAAAATAAAAACTCTTACAATGGTGTAACTAGAGAACACTTTGAAAAACGCTAGCGGCTAAACCGTTCAGCTGAATTTCTCCAAAATTGAAATTCCCCAATCGATTTGGCTGATGTTACGTCCCCATGAATCTGAAACCGATTTTAATTTTGGGGGGTACTTTACATGAAGCCCCATGGTTACTTCCCAAATTTTCAAAAAATGGCTCTCTCGTTTTTGATTAAATTTTGTTGTAGGAGAATTTAAAGGACTTTTAAGAGAATAATGCAGGTCTCATGTTCCTGGAAAATTTTGATGTTCCGAAAATTGCAAAAGTTCAATTTTTTGGGAGTCTTCCTACAACTAAAATATTGAAGATAGTTTTTTTCCTTAATGAAATTTCTTTCTTGAAGACTGATTTTGAAATAAGTTTGTGTACAATTTTTCGAAAATTTGAGTAATTTTGCGTGAAAGTACGTGCTGTTTATTCTTCCACTTTATTGCTGCAACTGAATTATGCATCCATCTGTTGATGTGTTTCCAGAACGCTTTTGTCGCGCAACACTTTTAGGAAATTAGAATATTTATGCCGGAGAGTCACCCTAAAACATGACCATTAAGCGCGCGATCCTTCATTCTGTCATCTGTCCCCATTCCTTATCTTAGGGCGAGTTATGGACACCCATTCCAGAATAGCCCATCGCACTTTGATGCAGAAACACATTCGTCTGTTGGAGACTGGCCTAAGCAAAACTGAACTGTAAGCGTTTCTGTTACATAAAATAAGAATATTTCTGGTTGCTGTAGAAATGATTGCATTTTTGTGAAAACTAAACAAATAAGACAATATTAATATTCGTGTATGGTACGAGAACACAGAACATTACCTTATTCACGTGTGAGAAAATATTTAAAAATACTACTTTATAAAGAAACATGAGATTGTTAAATGGAACATTGAAGTATTGTGCAAGGGGTCATACAAATTTATATCGTTATTTTTATGAGACTGTTACCTAAAAGACGAAAACAAAACTACGTCTTTTCGAAATTGTACGTAAATTGAGTTAGCAATAAAATAAAATTCTCAATAGGAAAATACAATGTTGTATTTACTAGAGAACAAACTCGTTTGCGTTGCCAGGAACAACGAAATAAACATTGCGGCTGTAATGAATAAACAGACGAATTCGCGAAATAAACATTCAAAATATATCATTTAAATTAAAACGTTCAACTGGTGGTTCGCAAAAATCGTGCCACTCGTACTGCCGATACATATGCCACCAGTGAGCAGAATAATAGGAGTAGAACACGTACTTCCGCGATGCTGTTTAATCTAACTTCTTCCTCGTGATTGCTAATGCAGTTGAATAATGCAGTCAATCGATTTTTCTGACATTTTTGGCCATTAAGAACTTTTTTGTTAAGGGAATATATTAAAAAAAAGTTATTAAAAAAGCCTCAAATACACAGAAAGCATCATTCCCTTAACTACATTGCTTAATATAATTGTCACTACAAAAACTTTAAACTGTTTACTTAACGACAATTGTGTCTTTCAAACATTGCTGAGTTTTTAAGAAACGCTATCACTCACATTTGAACTATTACAATTATCTAGCACACTTTACTGTCATGTCAAGATCCAACTGAGATATAAACATTTGATAAGATTAACCTTTTTCTTGCTTCCCAACAAATATTTTCTAAAAGATTGGGAGTAATGGGCCGTAACTGCACCTTCAGTTTTCCCTTCTCTTGCTTTTTTACTCGCTTTTAATGTTTGTTTTTGTGGACAGGTCAAACTTTTTGTTTCATATTTTCACACATTTTATATTACATAAATATACTCTGATATTCGCGAAGTTTAAATAACATACTTCATTACTTAATGGATTCAATTAAACTAAATCCAAACATCACATAGCTTTTACTGTTTTGTTGAGATTAAATCATATTGATATTAGGTCGAATCTAATAATAAATATATAATGAGTAAGTAAATGATGTGGAGGCGAAGAAGAAAAAGAGGAAGAAGAGCAAGAAGAGCAAGAAGAGCAAGAAGAGCAAGAAGAGCAAGAAGAGCAAGAAGAGCAAGAAGAGGAAGAAGAGGAAGAAGAGGAAGAAGAAGAAGAACAAGAAGAGGAAGAAGAGAAAGAACAGGATACGCTAATGAAATACAAGGAGAAAGAATTTTTGAGTTAGCTTTCATAGTGTTTTCTGTATCTACTTAACGAATCAATAATTCTGCACATCGTTTCTCACTTGCGAAGCGCATGTTCAGCGGGACCCAGAAAGCTCGTAAACACGCGAAACCAAAACCACTACCCAGGTGTCCATCACCATCGACCCGCCCTCCGCCGCGCCCTTCGCCCCGGGCGCCGGGGACGCGGCGCCGTTGCGTATGCCGCGCGCGGCGCGGGCGTGGGCGTGTGCGCGCCACGCACTCGCGTCGTGCGTGCCAACGCACGTGCCGCACGACGCGTACGCGGCTCCCGCGCACGCCAGCGCACGCCAGCCCACGCCCGTGCACGCAGGTGGGCCCCGTGCGCGCTGCTGCAAGGCGGAGAGAAAGACGACAACCGGGTGGTCGATGCAGGTGTACCTCAAGGCTGCCATTATTATTATTAATTATTATTATTATTATTATTATTATTATTATTATTATTATTATTACAGCCCATTCAATCCATTGCGAGCACAGATGTCCCGAATGGAGCATGCATGAGATCAGTCGCTATTGTTGCTACAGTTGGTAACATTGCATTATACCCCTGAGCACAGTTTACACTCATATACGATTGAAGTTTATAGTTCTTTACATATTTCAGTCTGTTACAGTTGCAGTTATCCTACCACGTTTCTTTATCCTATCACAGAGTACAACTACTAACTTTAAAGATGGGCATAATTGCCATTATGGACGGTTTATTGTGCTTGCGTATTTGGGCTAATTGATTTCGTGTTTCCGGGCCCGTCAATGGCTATGGTCATTAGTCGTGTAAGTGTAGTTATGTTTTTATCACGGGAAAAATGTTGTGTTCTCACTCATTGGATGTTGAAATCCGGAGCCGACCAACATATCAGCTAGCGGAGTTTTCCCCATCCAGGTATCTTCCCCAACCGGGGCACCGCCCCAGTCGAGTCGAACTTTGAGTTCCTAATTGTTCGGGACAATCTTTAAGTTCCTGATACGTTCCAGATATGTGCGGTAGTGTAATATGTGTAAACGTAAGAGGTGACAAGAAAGATGAGGAAGGAACGCGCGCGATCCAAGGTCCGTTTGTTCGGGTACTGCTCCGGCATTCGCCTGGTGTTGATCGACGAAACCACGGAAAACTACCGATCAGAGCAGCCATCCACTAGAATTCTTCTCGAGACAGCGGCTGAATTCGACCTATTTAGCAAGTGTCGGAAACCCTGCCACCGTCGTGACTTGAACCATAGGTCCTCCCGGTCAGAGGCTCTGCACTGACATCAGTCGCTGGCCTCTTGCTTATTTGGAGAAACCCTCTGAGACACGTCGCTGATTCACGAGGGATTTATGTATGGTCTAATCACCTCGTAAAGTTTTCACGTCCCAGTGAGCACAAAAGACTACTCATACAACTCTTGATGCAGCGTCGAGGCTCGTCAGAAGTGGTAAAGGAGGACGTGCCTCTGTGTGTGTATGCGTGTGTGCTTGTGTGTGTGTGTGTGTGTGTGTGTGTGAGAGAGAGAGAGAGAGAGAGAGAGAGAGAGAGAGAGAGAGAGATGGGAAAAGTACAAAGCTACGAGAATTAATTGGTAATATGTTCAAAGGCACAGTGGAGTGTAAAAATAGAGTGGAATGTTGAACTAAAGATGATATAAATGGAAAGGAAAATCAAAGAGAACACGTAAAAATGAAGATGGGTAGAGAGGTTTACAAAGGACGAAGGAAACGAATGGAACGTGATTGTTGAAGCGAGAATATTCGATTATTTGCATCTCCCCGGTATTCCCTTGCCAGGAAAGGAGGAAATTAGAATATAAATATCAAATTAATACTCTTCTAATGTTCTCTTTCTCAATCCTAATAAGGGAACCTGCATTTTTCCATAATTATCCTAATTAGAATATTTGTTTAATCACTTACACGTTATTTAATAAAGGTTTCCGCAACACTAAACGAAAACCACACTCAACGCTTTGCTTCCTTCCTACATCAATTGAAGGCAATCATTATATAAAGAATCAATTGAAGGCAATCATTATTAAATTTGTATAGCAATCATTATATAAAGAATATGAAATTATTTGGAAAATTAAATACTTCGTTTACATAAATTATTATAAATATTTTAATCTCATATACAATTCAAGTCACTCTACTTCAAGTTTTTACTATGTATTCAAGACAATATTTTGAATTAGAATGAAATGAACTACGAGCATGTTTCTCTTAAAAAGAGACAACCGCATATTGCTTTCTCCAAATAGAAGACGAAACGAAAAAATATTATTATGACGGGTGAATAAGAAAATTATTTCTTTAATCTCGAAAAAGATTTTTATTTTCTGCGAACAAGACAGATATAAATTACTGATATTTGTTTAAATATATTTGTCTTAAAAACATTAATTTAAAACGAATTGGACTTTTCTGTAACAAATATAAATCATAAATATAAAATCTGCATTCGTCCTCAATATTTACGAAACTACAAGCATGCAAGATTGTCTAACACTGGAAGGGTATCGTATTGACAGCAGACCAAATTAGTGAATAATTAAAAAAGTATCTCACCGTCGTGCAGCACCATAGCTTTCCAGAAAGGAGTCAAATCCATCCCATAGTTCTTCAGGAAACAGCCACTCTGTGGAGAAAGCAGAAGATTGTGAGGAAACAAGAAAATTAAAAATAGCAAATTATAAAAAAAATTAATTACATATCATAAAATATGCATCGCACCATCAACACGTTGAAAATATAGGGGGAGAGAACGCAAATGACGAGGAAAAACAGAAAACTACTGTTATTTATGGTATTTAAGTTATTCGAATCTGAAGATTTATTGATTAATTATTTCGTGATTCCGGTTGAGTCAACTGCTAGTCATTGGTCTCGTAAGTGTAGCACACGTTTTTATCCGCGAGAAGTGGCGGCGATCTTCCGTGGGATGGTGAGATACTGCGATGACCTATACGTTGGATTGTGGGATTTTTCATGAACCGGGTTTCTCCCACCAGCGAGACATCTTCCCAGTGGGACAAGCAGCTCTTACCAGCCCTGAGGAAGACCACGACAGGATGGTCGAAACGTCGGCAACACAGCCTTCGACGCGGCGTCACCCGGACAGCCCAGATCACCCACATGACTCTGGCCGAGGAAGCCTTCGACTTCATTCAAGCTCCAAGCGCCCCGCATGCGTAGAAGTGAAGTGTATATAACTATACGTAAGTAAAGAGTGAAGATAGGACAAGAAAGAGGAAGGAAACATCGCGCATGGTCCGTGCCCCCTTTGCTAAGGTACTTCTCCGGCATTCACCTGGTATTCGTCGCAGAAACTACGGAAGACCACCGACCACAGCAGACGGCCGCTAGAATTCTTCTCTACACAGTGGCTGAGATCGACATAGCTAAGTACCGAAAGGAAAGTACAGGTATTTACTAAAAACCGATGTAACGTTTCCACCTCTAAATAAGAACTTTGGGCACTAATCGACGATGTCCTCAATAGTTTTAGTTCGCGTTGAACTCGCCTCTTCGAAGTTTATAGTTCTGAGAACAGAACACAACACTTCGAATCCCGTTTTCAATCGTGGGCACCTTCGACTTTCTCTGGACTTTCCGCTGTTGACATATCTATTTACGATCCGTTACGCTGTCATGAAGAGAAAATGATTTGTGGACGCTCTGACACATTGACAACGGCGTTGAAAGCAATTTCCAACAAAACCGTAATTCATTGTTTCCAGATCCATCAGAATTGTGAAGAGAGATGTGTTTTTTTCGGCAGAGATCTTTTAAGAAGAATAAAGAGTCCTGGAAATCACACAACGATAATGTCATTAGAACATTCACCACAATTTGTGAAAACAGTTTGTATGGATTAGCATTCATGTGTGTTAAAACGCGAAAACCATTACTAAACGTAGCTGATTTCTACGAATTTTGCAACGAAGTAGAAAAAGAGAAGAATGCTAAATAGAAAATGTACAATCATTGCCTGATTTCATATGAGGTCATACACCTCTTTTCTTCAATGTCATCTGTGTCATCTGGGCCTAAGTCGCAACAACATTCTTCTATAAGAAGTATTTACGAGTGTAAACTGGATAGCATATAATCAGCTCGATTTATTTTGTTCAAGCGAGCCCCTCTTAATCGGAGGTCGACGAGTAATAGTGAGTCCACTAGCCAACGTATTTCTCACGAGTAGTTTAAGTGGTTCAAGTGGTCTGAGCAGTATTCACCACTTAGTCCGGTATAATGTCGAAAGCGTGGATCGCGCTCCTGATCGTCGCTTTATCAGTTGTGACGTCAATATGACGTCGGCGTGACGTCAATGCAGAGGATAAAAAAACAAATGTTTTCGGAAGGTGTGTCAGAATCGCCCCTTCCTATGGCCTCGACCTTTCACGGAAAGAGTTCGATAAAGGACTTTTATTCGGGATACATGGAAAGTAAATAAGGGGTTAATGTGATGATAAACCAAGAGGATTTTTAGGAACGGAGTTTTACCTTCAATCTCATAATGGAAAGTAAAATTATTTTGTAGATTAGAAGAATTATAAGCCGTAAAAAGAACAGAGATGTCGTTTATAATATTAATTATAGGTTATTTACTTCGTGTTCATCAAGACTCATTTCTTTTCATTTTCTATTTCACAATGGTTTGCATTCTGGCTGTATTGGGTGCTGTACTTTAATATCGTAATAATTTTTAATATCGTTTAAAGTCCACCAGGCACTAGAGAAGTTAAATACACACCGCAGAATTTATGTACTCAAGGACAATTTTCTGAAGTTATTAATTTTCATTATTATTTTAAGGAATAGATTCTCAGCGTTTACCATTAATATAACTTCGTTGTCTTTATTTGCAGCATTCCCGAATAAAATACCGACGGACTTGGCTCAGGGTAACAACTGATGACACTGCAGTGCCTCTGACCGCGAGGTTCTAGAGTTCGAGTGCCGACGGTGGCAACATTTTCGATTCTAGCTAGGACGAATTCAGCCGCTGCCTGGAGAAGAATTCTAGCGTCCGGCTGCTGTGATGGGTTATTTCCCCCAGGCCCCACTCATCGGTAGACTTTCGTGTTTCACCGAACAACTCCTGCTCGTGGGTGATCCGGTTGGTCTGCCGCTGTAGTGCAATCAGTTTGAATTTGTTGGTCGTACAATATTGTCCAACAGATGTCAGTGATTTTAGTGAGTATTCGTATCACTTGGGACATGTGTTTGGAACTTCGAGGGCAGTACAGATCTGCCAGCGGAGGTAATTACACAGCCTGTCGTCTCGTTTCAAGTATTCGGTCTTTGCTAGAATTAGACGGCTGGACTCGAACCCGCGATAATTTGGTTCGAGACCGCCACTCCACTACTGCCTTAGTGACTTGGCCATCGTATCAGCTTTACAATAATAATAATAATAATAATAATAATAATAATAATAATAATAATAATTATTATTATTATTATTATTATTATTAATAATAATAATAATTTCCTTTGTGCAAGTACCTTTATCAGCATTTTATGTAGCTGAATCCCGATTTTTATCGCTCAAGGTTGTTAGCCCTGGGGGCATGGACGATGAGGTAAAGATGATAGTGAAAGGTCGGCACACACATACAGTCATACACTAATCCACCCACGCCCGAGGGAGGACTCGAATGCGCGGACCGAGACCACTAGGGCACTACTGCCCTCAAGATCTCGGCGATCAGCTTATTACTATTACTATTATTATTATTATTATTATTATTATTATTATTATTATTATTATTATTACTATTATTACTATTATTACTATTATTACTATTATTATTACTATTACTATTATTATTATTGTTATTATTATTGTTATTATTATTACTATTATTACTATTATTACTATTATTATTATTATTACTATTATTATTACTATTACTATTACTATTATTATTACTGTAGGCTTTCAGTGTTTTCGGAGGCCCAGCCAAAGGCTCCGACCGCGGGCTCGGGGGCGCAGTGGCCAGGCGCGGGCAATCGGTCGCGGCCCAGCTGCACCAGCGACGCAACGCAGTCATTAGCCGCTGCCAAGTAGTTTACGAGCCATTAGTCGACGCGAGACGCGGCGAGGACCGGCCCCCACCCGAAACGAACCCCGAGTTAACCCTCGTTTGGGGCCACAGGCCCCACTCGGCCAGTCTCCTCGCTGAAGGGCATTTCTAGAATTGCTCCGAAACAGAAAGAAGGGGCATTGTTTCACGGTGGTGTTAAAAATAACTCACGCTTTGTGCTTTAAAATTATTAGAGTAAACAATTTATATGTTGTGACGATCACGAGTATGGGTGACTTGCCGGAGGAAGGCTGTTGTAATCGTTGAGTTTAATATATTAGCATCAATTGCACGCGTTGTATAAGGAACAATTTCCAATCTAGGAAACCTCCTATTTTTAATCACAGCGTTACAATATGCATGCGCGTTTGTTTATAAAGCTTCTTTCTCAAGCAATAGAGACGGAACAACTATGTTGTGTGTTACGTTCTTATGATTAGGTATTGATGCAGCAAACAGAAGAAGAATCCTTTAATTTATGCAAGGCATTTTATGAAAATTCAAAGAGAGTTACAGGTAGACACATAACTGAGCAATAATCTAGGAGATTTTACAAAGATGATATGAATAAGTATTGTAATATGGCACAAATTCTATACTCTCCTTAGCTGCGTGATGATTAGATAGTCCTTATTTTTGAGTTCGAATATTTTGATAGGATTCAATTTTTTCCTACGCTAATGTTCTTTATCCATTATTATTAGCATTATTATTATTGTTATCATTATTAATGTTGTTATTATTATTATTATTATTATTATTATTATGTGCAGTGCAGTGGCGTGAAGTGCAGTGACGTTGTGCAACTGAGAGAAACGAGTAAGAAAGACATTACAGCTCGCTGTATCGCAGTGCGGTGAAGTGTGGTGAAGTGAAGTTTGATGAAGTGGAGCTCTATGAAAGATTGAACGGTGAAATGTTCATGTGATTTTGTAACGTTTGTAGAGTTTGTATAGTTGTTAAGTTCTGTAATGTTAAGTTAGTGTATTCTGCCACCAAGTTCTCACACTTAATTGCAGAATTATTAATAAATCTAATCTAATCATTCTATATAAACATTTGCTTCATTTAACATGTTTTGGAAAGTTATCTCCCATCTATATATTTTGTACTTAGAACGTATTTTTTACTTATATTTATGATTTTATTTCCGATCTCCGTGTGTAACTTTATTTTTAATTTCTTTTATTCTAAAAATATCATCAAAATCAGTTTATCGCTTTTTTCCATTTTCAAACATGTTATTGGTTAATGCATATAAATATTAGGCGAAATGTCGTCGTCGACGATTATATGGACAATAAAACATTTTTTGAACTTTTGTTTATTGATTGTCAAAAAAAGATGTGTGTATTAAATTATTAATAATATTATTGATTATATTAACATTATTATGTAAGTTACGCGTATGTTCAGACCATTATGCCTCTTCCCCCACTCGTTTGCTACTCCAGAATTGTATTGAGCTATTGTACTCACGTTTCGGAACATCGAGATGACTTTTGCCCACTTTTGCCTTCCGTGAATGAACTGGGTGTTTTTACGC